ATGGAAGAAAACAAAAGGTCAAACATTGAAAGTTGTGAAAATAATCAGACCACAATATCAAGGGAGTCAAAATTCTTCTTCCTACCTGCAGACAGTAATCCAGGGCAAAGTGTTGGTAGCATTTTCTCGTGGCCAAAAGTAGGTGACTCGTCCTCTCAGCATCGCCAGCTTTGTGGCGAGACACCTGAGCATTTTTTATCGCTGCAGTCTCGAGATCCTCCCCGATGCGAACAAAGTCCCTCCTGGTCTCTGCCAGCTGAGGCAGGAACCTGGGGAGAAGAAACACACTCCACAACATCAAGACTTTTCTGCAGGTGAGTTTGTTTCTGTTTTGTTTAACTCTGCACTATCTGACAGAAAAACTAGAGATAAGATCAAAGGTCATGGCTGAAAAGGGTTAACAGACTAATACATTTGAAATAAGTGATGGAGGCGGCCGAATATCAACACACTCCATTTCCAGTAGATGAACTTAGTTTTCAATCACTTTTCTTAGACATTTGTAGAATTATTAAATTGATTGAATTCACTGTGTGACAGTCAGTCAGTGTTAGTGGGTGATACAACAACACTCTGAGAGAACAGAACTAAACCTTCAAATCCAAGACTTTACTGAAATATAATCAGGAGGAGAGAAATGTGAATGGGTTTGACTCACTGTGTACAGAGGTTGTTCAGCTGCTGACTGATGGCTCTCTGTGTCTGGTCAAACAACATCTGAGGGAAGTTTCAATAGTAGTAGAGTAAATACAACACATACTCCCTACTGTATCTGTACACTGTATCTTTATACTGTATTCATTCATCCATGTCCATGTGGGGATTGGAAATGCAATCTTATTCTGTTCCGAGGTGAAATTATAAAAGTAAAGAGGCTTGGGATTGTGTGTGTTTGTGTATGTGCTCACAGTGTGGAAGCTGAGGATCTCCTGCAGTCCCTGGTTGAGCTGGTTCAGACAGTTCTACAGAAGGAAGGAAACAGGAAGTGGGTGAACATTTCTTGCAGGAAGACAACACTGACTAACTGCTCTGTTGTTGCATTAGCATACAGAAATGACTCCGTCAACCGTCTGGTACGTGGGGAGCTCAGCTAGGCTGCTCATGAAGAGCTGATTGGCCAAGTTATAGGCTTGTCCCGCCTCCACCATTCTGTTGCACAGCTTCCTCACCTGATTGGCCAGAGACACACATTATATAAAAGACAACATTCAGGCAGAATGCAGCAGAAACATAATTCTCTACAACTTTAATGGAAGTAGACCTTGACCAACTTCTTCTTCCTGTCTGTTCACTGTCCTCAATGTTTCATCACATACAGAAATAACCGTTCACACTCACATTCATGGCTTTGGTCTGTGAACATTCACCTAATCCACAATCCGCATGTTTTTGAACTTTGTGGAAGGAAGCTGGAGAGAGAAGCTGGAGAACTCGACCCCCACGACTCCCACTCCCTCTTCCACACACACACACAAACAGGCAGAGCAGGACAACTCCAAACAAAAAGACCAGCTGTTAGAGCTTGGTACTGAACCTGTGACATTGTTGTTGCAGTTTTTTAAAACTACAATCCTACTGTTATGTTACCTGCATAACTTTATGGCTTCAGCATTAGAGGTGGCGTTAATAACAGTGAAGCCAATAGTACATGAAGAACAGTACCTTGTCTAGGTGTGCCTCCAGCAGAAAAGCCTCCTTCTCAAACTGATCCAGGTTCAGTCTGTAAAGTAAATATTTAAAAACATGGACTGACATGAGTTTCAGATAATACGTGTGAAAATGAGCATATGTATATCTGTGTGTTTACCTGAACTCCGGCGAGTCCTTGACACACTCTTCAAAATCCAGTAATGAGTCCATGTTTACAGCTTGCGTTGTTGATTAAAAGTTATGTATATTATTATTACTAAACCGGATAGCATATTAGCATTTAGCTGCGAGTCGACATCATCACCATCGTTGTCGTCATTATCATCCTATTCATCATTAGCATCATTAGCAGCAGCAACAGACATCTCCCTCTGTCCCCCAGTCAGTGTCTCTTCTTCTCCATGAGTATCTCTCCGGATTTCCATGGTCTCGCTGTCTCTCTTATCAAACTGTCAATCAAACGGATAAATGAATACAATTGACGTTGTACCGACGCCGTTAAAACAAACTTGAGTTTTAATACATTTTAGCGAGTTTCAGGGTGACAGTTCTCTTTGCATCCTGCTGTTGATGCCGTCGTTGCTAACCGACCGCTAAGTTCCGCCAAACATCCGTGTTGGCAGCGAGGAAACAGCGATATGCGGCGGGGGGAGGAGGTATTACACCTACATCTCTCGCTCAAAAATACTGTGGTTACATCGAGGGCAACTGTGTAACTATTTTTGGATAAGATGCCCTGGATGACTGAGAACCTACACAGACATACATCTCTTGCTGTATCTCAAATGGACCGTTGATAAAATGTAACTTTCTGTTTTCACATCATACTATCTGTTTTTTTGTTCAGTGTTGTTTGGCTCAGACACGTCTGGGAAGAACACTGTTGAACTCACGTTTTACTAAACCTTGTACAGAGAATCTCCACACAAACACACAGGCCAAACGTCTAAAAGTAAAATCTAATTTGTATAAGATAATATGTAATACTTTTTACATGTATACTTTGCAACAAAAATATTTTTGATTATTTTATTTAACTTTCTTCAAACTAATCTCCTCAGAATTTGAACTTGAATTCATTCCACTGGTTTTTTAATGTGCCAGATGGTGCATCTAATCTCCCTTAAGTCCATCAATGAGACACTTAATATGACAAATTTTTCTCGCTGATTTATTTAAATCAGAAAGCAAACAAACAACAAAAATCTTCGTACTTAAAGGTCAACCTATTCATCTGTTTGTGAAATCAAGATAAACAAAAAATGTGATCATGAAACAACAATAAGAAAAAAATGTTTATTGAAAAAAAAGGACCAAAAATACAATGGGATGAACTGTAGCTGTAAGTGTTAGGGTCCGTCATGCACATGACTGCTGTAAATGTTACAACCTGTGTTGTATATTCTGTCGATGTTTGTGCTCAGAAGCCAACAGAAACCAGGATGACTGTGACATTGTCAGCGCAGCCTCGTCTCACTGCCTCAGAAGCCAGCTGATGGCAGGCAGATTCAAACCGCAACTCCTCCATTGTCAGGCCAGGCTTAGGCTCAACACTGCCCTCCTGCAGGGCCAGAACAGAAGTGGCAATAATATTAAATGAAAAAAATCAAATAATCCTAGGTTGTTATGAATAGTTTCTTAGTAATAACACTGTTATATTCATATTGTAGGAATTTAATTATTTTAATCCTGAAAGTACAGTTAAATACCCATAGGAGAGTATGTATTGCAATAATATGTATTTATACTTTATAGCTTACATTACAAAGTCATCTATAATGTAATAGTTTATTCATTCTGGTGTGAATTAGCAGTCATCTTTGCAAATATTGCTCAAAAATAAAACAGACATTTCTAGAAAGTTCACCTGAGTGAAACAATGTTAGTCAAAACTAAAAATGTATTTATTTCTATTATTGTTGAATACATAGGCTTTTCATCAACTTGACCTCTAAGTTTTTCAACAGGGTTCTGAGACCCCCTATAGGTCTGCATAGGTACTGCAGGGCGTTGTGAAAATGTTCAATTATTAGACATTCCCTTTTTAAATATTATTTTGCAAGTTAACAATACAACACATTGGTATATGAGCTGTCCATGATATCAATACTTTTTGTTTATTGAAGGCCCAGTTTAATATCAGACTTTATTTTATATATTTTATACAGTTGGGGTAACAGGTTGGGGGGTATTTAGACATTACCATATCAACACATATCTGGATACAACCTAAGGTCCCAGGACAAAGAACTGAAAAGTGAGCAGAAGTTTTACCTGCAGAACACTGAGGACAAATTTAACAGCTTCATCAGCAGAAAAGACCTTGAACAAACCATCACAGGCTAAAATGATGAACCTGAAGCGAAGACAAACATCCAGACACAGCTCAACTTTCAATTCAACACAATAATTTCTCTATTTATTCCCATTTTTCATGCAGCAGGACCAGGGACTTCACAATGTGTGAGTTTATAAAAACAGCATGTCTCTACCTGTCTCCACCTTTCATACCATATTTTCAATCCTGGTTCACATTTACATTTATGTATTTAGGAAAGTAGGGCTTCCCAACTTGGGTGAGTACAGAGGTGGAAACAGTAGTTATGAAGTAGAAGTAGAAGTAGTAGTAGTAGTAGTAGTAGTGGTGGTAGTAGTGGTGGTAGTAGTGGTAGGAGTAGTAGTAGTTATGTCCTTGCCTGTCATTTGCTGTGAGCTGGCACCTCCTAAGGTCAGGTGTTGAAATAACACCACAGCGTTTGTATTGACCGTCACCAATAGAGCGTGACACTTCCAGGACGCCCAGCACCCTTCCCTCCCTGCAAAACACACACACACATGCATGTTCACACACTTTGCTGCTTCTTTGATTTACTCTCTATGACCACATGGTGGCCATCCTTCAGGCTTCACAGCAGAAATATTGGTCTGGATGAGACTGTGTACCTTACAGTGCCTCCCGCTCTCTGGATTCTCATCCTCTCCTCGTACATTGTTGGATTGTGTTCTTTACTGAGAGCCAGAGTAACTGCCCTCTTCTGTCCGTCAGCCACCACCTCCATCCGACACAACACCGCCTAGAGATATTGAAATTGCCTCTTTAGAGTTTGTCATTTACATTGATAATAAAACATTAACCTGGGGCCACACAGTAGGAAAGGAACAGTGTTATTGCCTGACAACAAAAGATATAACTGGTTCAATCCCCAGTCTCTCTGTATGGGGTGTCAATATTAGAGTGTATGTTTAAATGTATATAAATGGTTGTTTGTCTCAATGTGACCCTGTGATGGACTGGGAAACCATCCAGGGTTTGACCCCAGCGCTCCAGTGACTGTGATAGGATTGAGCAGTAGAAGATGGATAAAACATTTACCCTGCTGTCTCCCAGGTTGGCCACATACACCATGTCATCCACCACCAGTACACAGGTGGCTGTGGAGCCATCCTTCCAGGCTGGTTTCCTGTTTCCAGCAAACAATTATAAAACTGAATTAGTATACAACATCAACTGTGGAAAAACTTAATTCAGTTTGTTGAAACTTTTCAGGCCTCTGTTTGTAGTATTTGTGTTTTTATACATTAACTAAATATTTACATGCTAAAGATATAATTAAGTATATTCATTTAGGTGTGGCTGGAACTCCTTCATGAAGCAGTAAACCATCCAGGAAGCAGGTGAATGAATGCTCAGTATGACATGGCTAAGAAGACTAGTAACTTATAAAACAGATAAATATTTTTATTCCTACTGGCTGGAGGCTTTCTTCAAAAAGTCTTCATCTGTCTGTTTGAACGTGTCCAGGAGACACTTCTTTATGAGTTTGTCCATGTTTTCAGACTCTCCTGAAAGATAAGACAAATTGAAACATCCAGGGATCAATGTGTCCAGTTATTCCATAAATTTCTATGCTACGACAGCAACATTCACACTTGCCCTGAGCCAAAACTTACCGCTTGGGAACTTCTTGGCCAGATTGTGATGCAGATGCTCTGCAGCAAATTGAGATGCTCGAGCTCCACCATGGCCATCGAAGACCGCAAAGTATGAAACACGAGAACTGCAGGACAAACAGCTGCTCATGTCAGGCAGCAAAACATGAGCATCCTGCATCTCATCGCGCTCCCCACGCCTAGCTGCCACATAACCCTTCAAAACAGGAAGTCCTAAATAATGACAACACACAGAAACACAGTGTTAGCCTTCACCTTTCAACATAACACCTGAGAGCACTGTTTAAATTAAAGAAGCAAACAAACATTGCAGTGGAAGAACTGAAAACCTTCTCTACAAACTTTCTTGATCTGCCCATGCTCCTCTGTTTCAATTTCTTCTTGTTGTTGTTTTCTTTTCACACTTTTCTCCTCCTTTTCATTTTCTTCTTTGGTGGTCTGTGCATGTGCTTCGACTTGAGATGCTGAACCTGAACCAGGTGGACCTGAGAAAGTACCAAATTAAAGTTTGTTAATCCTGTGATGCTAGTCTAATTCATTCATTCACTTTCCCCTCAATTCAGTTTTCCCTCTGCTGACTCTGGTGATGATGCACAGGATGTGGTTAAATACATGGTTTCTATTACTTTAATATGAATGCTGGGAGGTTTTGAGCTTTTTAAAACTTTGACCATGGATGGCCTGCAGACCACCCAACTTTGATGCCACCTGCATTAGCTTTTGCATTACATATGTACTATATGTATAGGAAATAAACTGCTTGTTATAATTGTTTATTGCGGTATAGTTTTACTGGTCAAAGATTCTAGATTATACTGGCCTGTGAGTTTTAAGAGAATAAAATTAATACACTCACCGCTGGTTTGTGTGGGTTCTGGCAGATCATCGAACAGGTCCATTCCCCTAGCTTTCGAGCTAACAAGCTACTACCAGCAGCAACCCTACCCGTTACACTTCAGTTTAACCGTCTCTGCCAATGTAAGTAAATTGCCTGTGTAGAAATGTTTGAAGTTTTCTCTGACAGTTTTGTATAAAAGAATAACGCCCCTAAATAAAGAAATGAGGAGCTATCCACCACTGCACCGGTACCGCAGCATTAGCATCAGTTTCGAGTAATTTCCGGTCACCACCTTCAAAATAACTTCCACTTCCTGTGTTACAGTTGTTGGCAATTGTTTACGTACGTTTTTTCGAGTAAGGCCCTCAATGAATAAAATGTGGGACAAAATATAATGTTCTTTCTTAGGAGCAGAGGGAGACTCTTTACATGTACTTTTATTTGTATACCAAAACTGCAAAGTCCGTTGCGGCAAATGGGTTTGTGAATGTGAGCTAAACAAATAAAAGACTTGACTTGACATGGTGTGTAGAAACGCTTTCACATCACTGAAAATAATGTAACTTCAGAAGGAAAAAATATTTTAGAGTTGAAAAATTCATATTAGTAAGACTATGTAAGTAAGTAGTAAGAATTAGTAAGATACTTAATTATATACCAACCAGCATGACTGTGCAAGGATAATAAAGAATTACATTTAGTATCGAAGCATAACACGTGTTGATGAACCTATTGATTGTTTTTGTAATCAAAGTGCTGAAGTTTATCCTAACGACAGGACCCCAATAAAATTTTAAAATCCATGATTTTGCTGGGATAGGAACATGCAAACATACCTCATAACTGTGACAGAACGTTTACACAATTAATTATTTGATTTCAAACCCTTAATAAGGCTGCCCCCGTGTCCCCCAAGCCTTTCTTTTGGCCAGCTCTCCTATTGGCTGATAAGGGGCTCGGTTTCTATTGGCTGATGGATGTAAAGGCAGAGGCTGTGTGGGGTCAATGTGTTAAACACTCTCACAGTTGGACTTGAAAACCTCACAGACATAGAATATATCGATGTGACTGAGTACGGGCAAAACACAACTGGAAGTATTGATCATTGATATCGATCGGTTATTCAACATGCGGCTCCACCTGCACTGTTTGTGGACCTGCTGGACATTTACTTTTCTCACCGCA